GGTTGAACAGCCACTAGTTGGGGTGATCTAGGTGTAGGTATGTCAATGTTCTACTATGGGTATTTCCCATGCCTCTGGCCTTTGCTGGCTGCCCCCACCCTCCCTTTTATGCTATGTGTGGCACAGTGTTTTTAAGTCTTCCCAGAGGCATTGAATATTGGTTACAGCCAAGGCTGGGGACTTTGACTGGGGCGTGCCAATGCTCATGCTGGGACTAAAGCTGGAGATTCGTGGCTAGAGGGTCATGCCCCTCCACTCAATCTTCCCGATTGCCATATTTGGGGTCAGGAAGGCATTTTACCCAGTGGTCAGACTGGTATGGCCTATGAGGGTTTTTGTCTCTCTCTATAGTGGGGGCATGGCCCTCTATCTGGGACCTCTTGAATGTATACTAACATTTTACAGAAGCTGGATGTTGCCTGCCATGGTTCCCCTGCTTTATCTGTGGCAGGTCAGGATATTAGAACTATGTTGTAACATGGTTGGTGAAAGTCTTATGTAGAGTTTAGCTTATGGTTTGTATAGGATGGTCTAGATAGGGATAATCCTGTGTCACACAATGGGCTGGACTACTTGACCTCTGGAGGTCCTTTCCAGCCTGACTTCTCTGTAATTCTACAATAAATCTGTGGGGATCGGGAGCCAAGGAGGAAAGGTTCACTTCATTTTAAGAGGCATTCCTTTAGACAAAGATGCTGCATGAAGTTGGATTTGCAAACAATTAATTCAAAGGTCTGGAAGTCAATTTACAGCAGGGGTGGGCAAAATACGGGCCCACGGGTTGCATCTGGTGAGGTGAGGCCATTCTATTGGCCTGCAGGGCCCCTAAAAAATTTAGAAAATTAATATTTCTCTGCCCTTGGTTCCCGTCAAAAATGATAGGAGCCAGGGGTAGTAGGACCCAGGGGAAGCCCATGGCCAGCGCACTCTACTGCAATTGCTCGCAACCTGCGCGGGGCTGTCCTGAACAGGCACAGGCAGCCCCACCCAGGCTGTGAGCGGCTGTAGTGCGGGGCACTGGCCACGGGGCAGGCAAAGAGCTGCTTTCCCCTCCCCCCGCGCTCAGCACCAGCTTGTAATCCATCCCCACTGCCAGCCTGGGCCCTGCGCTGGCTCCAGGCTCACCCGTTGGGGCTGAGTGCGGTGGCAGCAGCTACGGCCCCTCCACTTGCCACGCCGGGCAGTGTTTCCACCGCTGCTTCTGTGCTGCTCAGTACGCGAGCTCTGGGTGGGCAACAGCAGCAAACACTGCCCGGCGCAGCAAGTGGGAGGGGCGAGACTGGCAGCGGGGGCAGGTTACAAGCTGGTGCTGAGTGATGGGGAGGAAAAGAGTCCCTTGCCCGCCCCGTAGCCGGTGCCCCGCGCTGTAGCCACTCACAGCCTGGGTGGGGCTGCCTGTGCCTGCTCAGGACAGCCCCGTGTGGGCTGCGAGCGGCTGCAGCAGGGAGAGTGAACCATGGGGCAGGCAAGGGGCCACTTTTTCCCATGCTCTGCACCAGCTCCTTCTGTTGAGCCCCAGCTCAAGTCTGAGATCATGCCCAGTATGCAAAGGCCAATAAAGATGCCAGGGGTAAAAGCACAAAGAAGGTTTATTGCTAGCAATAAAAGGTGCGAGTGGAATAATTTCACGTAACAAGCACCCCAGATTACTATTTCTAAGCATCTTTTATACAGGAATTTTTGAGCCTTCATAAGCATCCTTGTTTGCTGATTGGTTATAAAGGAGTGACGCAAGGAGTTCTTTACTGAGCATGTCTCTATACCTGTGTTTTAGCAAAAGGACTTAATGCTACATCTCGAGCTCTTTCAGCCCTGAATGCTGAACAAAAACAATTAAGGGACGCTGTCTTAGAGAATAGAACCCTTAGAGAATGCCCTTCTGCAATGATAAGGAGGAGACAGTCTTAGATAAAGGCGGCTTGAAAACAGAAGCAGAAGCAGAGTACTGGGTTAAAGGGCTCATTAAAATACTAAAAATCACGCCCCTAGGTGGGAAAGAAGTATGCTAATGAAACACATATGTATGTAAATGAGATACATGGCTAAAACACAGGTATAGAGACATGCTCAGTAAAGAACTCCTTGCGTCACTCCTTTATAACCAATCAGCAAACAAGGATGCTTATGAAGGCTCAAAAACTCCTGTATAAAAGATGCTTAGAAATAGTAATCTGGGGTGCTTGTTACGTGAAATTATTCCGCTCGCACCTTTTATTGCTAGCAATAAACCTTCTTTGTGCTTTTACCCCTGGTTTCTTTATTGGCCTTTGCATACCGGGCACGATCCCAGACTTGAGCTGGGGCTCAACACTTCCTTGCCAGTGAGCAGGGGGTTGGGACTGGGGGGCACTGGGAGTGAGCGGGTGGGAAGCCAGTGGGAGCATAGGGCCCGCATCGGTGTCCCAGGGCCAGTGCCAGCAGGGCCCAGAGCAAGGCGGCAGGAATACAGGGTCCTGGCTGGCAGGGGCTCTATGGAGCCGGGCCAGCTCCTCCCTCTCCCTGCTGGTGCAGCCCAGCCTGGCTCCACAGACCCCTGCCAGCGTGCACCTTGGTCACCAAGACAGTGACCAAGGGGCAGGGCACCTGTCAAGGGGTGGGGCCACCCATGCAGCCCTCACCAGATTGCCAAAACTGGGTAAACAGCCCTCCACCCAAAATAATTGCCCGCCCCGATTTACAGGAATGAACGCAAGCCAACTTCTTGATGTTATATGAATTGTTTACGCTTACAAGTCTGAATGAGAGATTCTATCTTTTCCAAATATTGAAGTCCACTTGTCAACGTAATGCATAAGAAAGGTGATTAGTCATGTTAGTCTGAAGTCAAGCAAAAGCCAGAGAAGATTATGCTTCTCTGAACCAGTTAATTCTGGGGTTCTTAACATTTTTAGGCTCAAGACATCCTTCCATAACTTTTCTGAACATGGTGGCACTTCAGTTGAGCATTATTATTCCAGCCACATAACTAGTTATTTCTGTGCCCAGGGCATGGAGGGGATGGTGAGAAGATTGAGCGAAGAGCAGAAGGGGGCTGGCAGTCTTACCTACCACAGTGCAGGCTCACAGGTTCTGCAGGCTTGCAGTGGGGCAAGTCCCTGCCTCACTCACAGGCACTAGTGATTCGCGGGTACAGTCAGTCCATGACTGTAAAAGTATTAATTTGGTTGTGAAGAGATCGACACGGGAGCTGTTACTACATAGCAGAAGCAGCTAATGTAGCAGCACTGTCTCAAGCTGTTGCCCTCAGGAACAGGCAGCAGCAAAAGTCTCTGGGGCTGCTCTGGGGTTCACCCCTAACTCTGAGGGCAGGGCTGTGCCTCTTATGAGAAAGCCTGAGGGTGGGAGCGGGACTCATTCCATTCTACCCCCTCCTCTCCCCAAATACACTGCTGAGCATAGAGCTGCACCTTCTGGGTTGTCCCTGCTGCAGGAAAAACTCCTGGGGGAAGGAAGCCATACAGGTGCCCCCCCCAAAGCTGGCACCCTTGCCCCCTGCCTTCCCCCTCCCCCACCCCAGTTACACTACTACCACCCCTACCTACATCCCAGTGTGCTCCGCATGGTCAATGCCCTGAGCTCATGCCTTGCTTAGTTGCCCAGCTGTGACCAAGCACAACTGTTCCTGGTGCCTTTGTTTCCAGGAGGGGACATGGATGACAGACTGGGAAGGGCAGAGCAGAAGTGTTCCTGCTGCAGCTGTTTCCCAGTCAGCCCTGCACCTCCTCCCAGAAACAAAATTATGCAAGACAGCTCCACCCGGATGCAGTGGAAGTGCATCCCTGAAACAGTCTCCTGGTACCCCAGTAGAGAACTACTCAGTGGATGTGTCTACATGTGCATTAATGCTCTTTTCCTAATGCACACTAAATTTAGTACCGCCAATACAAGGTACTAAATAAATGCTCATTAGGCTGCTCTAACGGCCCATGGCACACAGGGGACGATGAGAGGATTGTGTAGAAGAGGGCTGGACAGGCCAGGTCTTTTTAGGTGACACTTTTAGGCAGCTCGCAACCACCCTTGCCCCGCTCAGCTCTGCTTAAAAAGTGTCCCCTTAAAAATGGTGGTGGTGGTGTTTGAACTAGAGGTCATTTGATGAGTTTTAGTTCAAGTGCCCTCAACATCATTTTTAAATGCTGGGACACGGACACATGGGATGCAGGAGGCTGCTGGAGTACGCCCAAAAAAAAAAAAAAAAAAAAAGCCTTATTTATGTCAGGACTTTAAAATGTCTTGCATTTCAAAGTAAATCAGTTATTGGATCAGCATTGGCTGATACAGCTAATTAACAATGGGCTATTGGTATCAGCCACGAAGATCTTTATCAAGTCACCCCTGCTTGACTCCCGCCGTACAGTGCAAGCTGCCACCATCGACACGTCCCAGAAGATGCACAGCAGCCAAAAAACCCACAATGAAACATAGAAATAAACAATTTGCTACCACAGTAAGAGCTTCAATGCTCCTGCCCTGAAACCCGAGGCCCACTTCCCACCTCTTTGAAAAAAAGCCATGTTAAACGAGAAATATTCGGCCTGTTTCTGGCCCAGAGTCTGAGAGCTCTTTGCGCAGAGCGGAAGGGAACTGGAAGATTTGCCCCAGAGGCAGGGCAAAGTTCAGTGATATCCAAGGGCATGAACAGATGTCACCGAACAAAACAGATCCAGATCGACCCTGGTGGACGTGGCTGCCACAGCTGACCCGCCCCGCCCCGCCCGGCAAAACGCGCGCGGCCCGTGGTGCGGCACTGGGCAGGGACCTGATCCGGGGTGGCGCGGCCCCCTGCGGGGTCCTTCAGCTGAGCCGCCGCCTACAGAGGAGCCCTCCCGGGGGGCTGCTTGGGGCCCGTCTTTGCAAGCGGGGATCCCAGCTCCTCTCCCGGCCCGTCTGCGGACGCAGGGAAAGCGGGCGCCCCACGCCTGCACAGCACAGCACAGCACAGCACAGCCCAGCCCAGCCCAGCCCAGCCCCGCCCCAGAGAAATCCTGCCTGGGAGTCACCCGGGGGTGGAGAGCCGGGGCGATGCAGCAGAAGCCACCGCCCGTCGGGCCGTCAGCACCGGTGTGCAGGGCCACAAACGCGGGGTCTGTGTCCACCCCGGGCCCTGCCCGCGACCCCG